ACAACTTATGTTTAAACAAGTTTTATTATTATAATAATCATAACATTGCAGGACTTACATTTTCCGACCAGTCAGTTGTATTGGTATTTGTATTGCTTAAAGGCATAGTACTGGTAGTTATTTCGGGTGTAGTGCTACTATTTAAGCTGGAGGAAGAACTATAACGAGATTCTGGTTCTTCGGTTTTAGCAGTCTGGAAAAAAAGATATAAATTGTATTAAATTAGAGTTTATAAATTAAAAAATTAATAGTCTATAGACTAGTCGAAAGTCTAGCCTATTGACAGATTTACTAGACTAGTCTATCAAGTTCAATTCTAGTTCCGTTTTAGTTCTAGTTCAGTTCTATTTCAGTTCTAGTTCAATTCTAGTTTAATTCTAGTTCAGTTCTAGTTCAGTTCTAGTTCAGTTCTAGTTCAGTTCTAGTTTAGTTCTAGTTTAGTTCTAGTTTAGTTCTAGTTTAGTTCTAGTTCAGTTCTAGTTCAGTTCTAGTTCTGTTCCAGTTCTGTTCTAGTTCTGTTCTAGTTCTGTTCTAGTTCAGTTCTAGTTCAGTTCTAGTTCAGTTCTAGTTCAGTTCTAGTTCAGTTCTAGTTCAGTTCTAGTTCAGTTCTAGTTCAGTTATAGTTCAGTTCTAGTTCAGTTCTAGTTCAGTTCTAGTTCAGTTCTTGTTCAGTTCTAGTTCAGTTCTAGTTCAGTTCTAGTTCAGTTCTAGTTCAGTTCTAGTTCAGTTCTAGTTCAGTTCAGTTCTAGTTCAGTTCTAGTTCAGTTCTAGTTCAGTTCTAGTTCAGTTCTAGTTCAGTTCTAGTTCAGTTCTAGTTCAGTTCTAGTTCAGTTCTAGTTCAGTTCTAGTTCAGTTCTAGTTCAGTTCTAGTTCAGTTCTAGTTCAGTTCTAGTTCAGTTATAGTTCAGTTCTAGTTCAGTTCTAGTTCAGTTCTAGTTCAGTTCTTGTTCAGTTCTAGTTCAGTTCTAGTTCTGTTCTAGTTCTGTTCTAGTTCTGTTCTAGTTCTGTTCTAGTTCTGTTCTAGTTCTGTTCTAGTTCTGTTCTAGTTCTGTTCTAGTTCTGTTCTAGTTCTGTTCTAGTTCTGTTCTAGTTCTGTTCTAGTTCTGTTCTAGTTCTGTTCTAGTTCTGTTCTAGTTCTGTTCTAGTTCTGTTCTAGTTCTGTTCTAGTTCTGTTCTAGTTCTGTTCTAGTTCTGTTCTAGTTCTGTTCTAGTTCTGTTCTAGTTCTGTTCTAGTTCTGTTCTAGTTCTGTTCTAGTTCTGTTCTAGTTCTGTTCTAGTTCTGTTTAGTTCTGTTCTAGTTCTGTTCTAGTTCAGTTCTAGTTCAGTTCTAGTTCAGTTCTAGTTCAGTTCTAGTTCAGTTCTAGTTCAGTTCTAGTTCAGTTCTAGTTCAGTTCTAGTTCAGTTCTAGTTCTAGTTCTAGTTCTGTTCTAGTTCTGTTCTAGTTCTGTTCTAGTTCTGTTCTAGTTCAGTTCAGTTCTAGTTCTGTTCTAGTTCTGTTCTAGTTCTGTTCTAGTTCTGTTCTAGTTCTGTTCTAGTTCTGTTCTAGTTCTGTTCTAGTTCTGTTCTAGTTCTGTTCTAGTTCTGTTCTAGTTCTGTTCTAGTTCTGTTCTAGTTCTGTTCTAGTTCTGTTCTAGTTTTGTTCTAGTTCTGTTCCAGTTCTGTTCTAGTTCTGTTCTAGTTCTGTTCTAGTTCTGTTCTAGTTCTGTTCTAGTTCTGTTCTAGTTCTGTTGTAGTTCTGTTCTAGTTCTGTTCTAGTTCTGTTATAATTCTAGTTCCGTTCTAGCTCTGTTCTAGTTCTGTTCTAGTTCTGTTCTAGTTCTGTTCTAGTTCTGTTCTAGTTCTGTTCTAGTTCTGTTCTAGTTCTGTTCTAGTTCTGTTCTAGTTCTGTTCTAGTTCTATTCTAGTTCTGTTCTAGTTCTGTTCTAGTTCTGTTCTAGTTCTGTTCTAGTTCTGTTTTAGTTCTGTTCTAGTTCTGTTCTAGTTCTGTTTTGTTTTGTTTTGTTTTGTTCTAGTTCTGTTTTATTGTTTACAAATATGTAGTTTTCATTTTTTTATTACTTTACCTGTTTATTATTTTCTATACTTTCAATTAAAGTCTTAACGGACAGTCTGGAATCCTGTCTTGAAAAGCTGCCAATTTTACTGCGTCTAGAGGCCATTTCCTGTTGCACGGTTGTTAATACAGATTGTTGGGTTTCAGTTTGTTGTTGTTCTGTAAATAAAGCTGCATTAATATAAAAAATAAAATTTGAACTACTTTATAAAAGAAAAAAGAAAACTCACGTTGTTTGGTTAATTTTTCAATTTGCTGCTCGAGCATACGTATCTTTTCCTTTTGGGTTTTATTATCCAAAACTAATTGTTCTCTAGCACTTAAGGCTTCAGTCTTAAAATCATTGGCCACACGTACCGTCATCAATAGATCCGACTGGAACTGTTGCCATTCTTCTATCTCCTGTTTGCGTAATTGTTGCAAATCTTCCAATTGTGTTTGAGTATCATTGAGTTTACGTTCCATTTCGGAGAGATGTTTTTGTGTTTCAGCTAAAAGATTTTGTAGTTGTGTTTTATCCTCCAAGTGACATTTACATTGTACTTGTAACTCCGAGGAGGTTTCACAAAGTTGTTGATTTTCCAAAGTAAGTTTGTCTTTTTCCTGTTGCAATTGTTCAAAACGATATTCGAGATGTGAGAGAGCACATTTGGCATTATTTTTAGAGACTTTAAGCTCTTCGGTAACATCGGTAAGTTGTTCTTTAAGGCGTCTTGCCTCTGCCTGGCTGCGAGACCATTGATCTTGCAATTCGGCCACTTTTTCTTCTAAAACATCTTTCTCTTTGCGTGCTGTATCCAAAAGATCACTAAGATCGGTTTTATCACCTCGAGCCAAATCTTGTTCAAGTTCTTCTATTTTAGCTTTAGCATTCTCTAGCAAAGTAGTTAAACGATGATTTCGATAAGACCATGGGAAATTTCCTCTTTGGCGCTTAATAGCTGTGTTTCCATTTGTTTGCGTTGAGCATGCTCAGCATCTATGGAAGATTCTAAAAGAGCAATACGTTCACGTAGACGTGATTGTTCTAGATTTTGAGCTTCATGCGTTTGACGCATTTCCTGTATTTCACCATTTAATTCTTCGTGTTTAACTAAAACCGCTTCACGTTCATCTTGAGCACTTTTTATTAAATCCATCAATTTCTTTTCACGCTCCGTATTGGCTACTTCTTCAGCAGCACTCGTTTGTTTGGCATCTCTTAATAGCAATTCTTGTAGATTATTGATTTGTGTACGGGATTCATTAAGTTTTCGGTTTGTCGACATAACGATTGGAAAAGAACATCTTTTTCTTCGGCTAAACGTTCGTTTTCGGCATGAGCATCGGTAAGTTGAACTTGTAAATCGGCTAATTCTTGGAGTGTAGCTTGTAATTCTTCATTAGTCGAGTAATGGTTTCTTCCATTTGTATGATTTTATCCTGTAAACAAGCTACAGATATTTCACTAGACGAGGAGTGTTTATCCCAGTCGGGTGTAAGGCATGGAGTGCCACCATTATCATTGTCTGTTGTCTGTTTGGGAGAAAGTTAATTATATATTTATATGACTGTTTCCTATCTGTGCTTAATAACTTACTGTGGGCAATGCTATAGAAGCTGGTGCTGAACTATGCAAACGTTGTGAATCTTGTATAATTTGATGTTTTTCCGCATCCGATAGTGGAGAATTGACCACGTCTCTTAAACGATTTCTTAATGATTCATTTTCATATTTTAAATTAGCAATTTCCAATTGATTTTTCTCTTGGACACTCTGTCGTTAAATGATAGAAAATGTAAAATTATTAATAAATAAATAAAACTACAAGTAATTAACACTTTAATCTACAAAAAAACGCCTTCTTTCACCACCTCTAGGGGCAGAATTATTGCAAAAAATCTTAAAAGTAATTTAAACAAACTACTTGACTACAAGTCATGCTTTTCCCTGTTACAATATTTATTTTATTTCTAGCTCTTTTTGTTTTGT